TCTGCCCTCGTCTTTGTATCAGCTTTGTCTTCACACTGGCTTCCTTCGTGGTTACAAGGTGGCTGCCTGTAACTGTCAGGGCTGTGTGCTTCCTAATTGGCCTCAAAGGGAGACATCATGGCATCCTACACCATCAAGCAGAACTTCCCAGCTTTGCTCTGATTTGAACAGCCCTAAACTAACAACCATCAGGGCAAAAGGCAGAGAATATCCCTGGCTGGTTTAGGCTCTGCCTGCCTGCTGCGGATGAAGCAAGTCCTACCCAGCTTTCATGGCTGTTTCCCAAAGAGGAAGGAAGAAGTCAGTGTGTGTAGGGGGAAAGCAGCCATGAAGCCCAGGGAACCAGGGTAGATAAAATGGTCAAACCCACTGCTCCCCTGCTTTCCCAGTCTCCAGAGAGGGATTTCCTAAAGCAGAAACCTGTTTCTAACACCCCTTGTTAAAACCCTTTGGTGCTTCTCCCCAGACATAAGCACACAGAGCTCTCAGGATAAAGTTCATACTTCAGGATGTTCAAATTCGAGTTCCATTTGACCTTTCTGACCTGCTCTCTTCCCGTCCTTTGAACCCCATGGAACATTGTACCATTCCCCTTTCCATATACTCTTCTGTGCTGCCCTGTCTCTGTACTCTTGTATTTCTTCCTGGAATGTCCTTGTCCTTCACTCGGCAAATTTGCCCTTCAAAAGCCCAGCCTGGATGTCTCCTCCTCTGGGAAGCCCTCCAGGACAGCTTTAGGCCAGGTTAACCACTGCTGTCATAGGCTTCTGGGTAACGTAGTCACATTGGGACTGAACCTCTCACCTCTGTATCTGCCTTTGCCATGGTCTTCGGGCAGGGACTTGTCTGATCGTTGTTGTGGGTTCCCAGTCCCCAGTCTTGTCATAGAGTAGGAGCTCAAATGGTGTTTGTTGATGGAGTACTACTTTTATGGCCCCGCTCTGCCTAGCAATGTGGGGTCCCTCGTAGAAACTCAGTTGATAATTGTTGATGGATTAAACTGATCACAACCCTCAGTTCTCCATGTCCTGAGAAAACCCTGAGCCACAAGTTGCTTGCTGCCCTCTCAAAGGAGCATGAAAGGGCTGAGCCAGTCAGATTTGGAGCTTGGTGAGGGCTTAGAGGCCTTCAGGTTCACACTGAGGAACCCTCAGAGGAGCCTCTTTTCATCCCAGGACACTGTGGGCAAGACCTGCCGGGGCTGGGTAGGCATAGGTACCCCTTCCCTCTTGAGGTGGGTAGAAACCTATGTAGCAGCCAGGGCTTATTTTAGGCCAGTTCTTTCCATTAAAATTTTTAGAAACTACTAATACAAAACTTTATGACATATTCCTTGAGTCAAACATAGAAGACAAACACAGATCACTTGTATTTCTTCCTTGGGCACTGATGTATGTGATTCCATTTTCCTTTCTGACTATGCATATTTAGTAACTTCCTAAGGCATTGAGATAATTATTTTATTTTTATTTATTACTATTTTATTTATTGAGATTATTTTGTTACTGAAACCCTGTGCATGTCTATAAAAGTTTCCTGCAGTTCTGCCACTGACTGAAAGGTAAAGTGTTAAGGCACATGTAGTAGAATCCAGTAAAGATCACGAAAGCATCACTTTTTTGTTGTTGTTGCACCAATCACATGAAAGGCACTAAGATCTGAAACCCTTTAACCTGAAAGGAAGAAAACAAAAACCAACCACTTTTCATATAAAAAGAAAAAAAACCAAATCATATGTTGCCATGTGTGAGAATAGAGTCAGGCAATATTTACACAAAGGTTCACAGCATTTTGACACATACTCTGATTAATAGTAAGGACTGCTATTTCATAAAAGTTTCGAACTTCTGCAGTACAGATACAGGGCAGTCATTTCCTAAAAATGCTTCACTGGGTCCATACTCAAATTGGGAAATACGGATTTAATCCTGGCTTAGAACCAAAAGTTGGTGCACTTATTCATGGGAATAAAACCAAAGCTAATCTCCAGCTTCCCAGCAGCCAAAGCACAAATAAATAAATAAACGAAAGGAAGCACAAGGGGTCATGGAGCTCTCGAAATGCAGGAGAGAAAGCAGACCAGACTGGCAGAAGCTCAGGCTTTCTGAGGGCTGCACTCCGGAGGGGACGGGGCGTGGGGAGCTTGGGTAAGGACGTTGTGTAAAGGGTGGTTTCGCTCACAGATGCAGTAACCGCCTGGGCTTGGCCACTTCTCACACTGACTCCTTGACCGCAACTGCAGTTGTGCTGATAAACTGTAGTTCTGGGAAGGCAAGTTTTTGTAGGAAACCTAAATAACATGGGTCTGAGTGTGATGCTTTCTGGTGATTTTGTTTGGTAGAGATTCAAGAAACACATGTTAATTGGTGTGGCTTTCAGGTTGTGCTTTTCATGTTGAAAGTCTTATTTAGCTGTCTTGATGGTACTGCAGATAGAGATGATTAGTGCCATTTTAGATGAAGAAATGAGGCTCAGGGAGATAAAGTGATTTACCCAAGGTCACATAGCCAATTAAATGGCATTATCAGAACTTGAACTCAAGTCGCTGACATTTTCCTTTTTAACGGCACCCTGTTAGAGGAGGGGAAGTGGCTGAGCCTGTGGTGTTCTCACTGAGTGAGTGAGGCCTGGGTCTTTTGCTTTATGAATACCATCTCATCTGACCCTCACAGTAATTCTGGAGGGTCTGTAGTATATCCATTTTGCAGAGACATAGGTAATTGCCCAAGGCCACACAGATATTAGGTGTGGAGAAGCTCTACAGGGGTTCTTAACCTGGGTTTGGTGGTGGGACTTAAGGGTGTGCAAGAATTTAATGCAATTGCATGCAAACACTTGTTTGTATTTGCATTTTTCTGGGTGAGAGAAAAGAGGATAGCTTTCATGGAGTCTCAAAAAAACAATACAGAAACAAAAAGCCCCCAAACCTCTGTGCTCATGGTTTGCTCAATAGTAACAGCTCATACTGGCCGAGCTCCACCCGGGTACCTGTCACTCAGTAAGGCCTGGATGACCTCATTCCTGTGGGGTGTGGGTATGTATGCCCCCATCTTAGGGGCTGCTCAGCTATTAAGTGGCCTTGTTTAATGACAGGTTTTTCTTCTTTTCCATCAGTGTCTCTGGTGGCTGGTCTTTTTCTAGCAGTTAGTAAGACTTTTTGTCCTTTTGTGGAGCTGAAAATTCTTAAAAGGCAAAGTGACATGCTGTACTTCAAGAGAGCAATGCCTGTGTCCAGGTCATTCCTGTTCCCTGACCCCTAGGAATAAGCCTCGTTGGTTGGTGGTTGGTTAAATGAACCTGTGAGTAAATGAGTGAGTGGGTAAGAGAGTGGAAGAAAGTAATACCTCTTCCCTACTGCTCTGGGTTGCAAGGACATTAATCTATCTCTGATGGCTTTTACTCTGGGTGATGGCTGCTGTAGTGTTAGAGAGAAGTCCTGGGAGAGCTGAGGCCAGGCCCAGTGTTCTGATGGCCAGGCAAGATCAGAGGGACTATAGGAGCCTCAGAGGCAATGCTCATCCCCCTGGCAGGCAGTGGTGTGCGAGCACGCGGGTGTGCCCTTATGTAACTCTCGCCCATGGCACGTAGCGTTCCACAGACCTGCCTCATAGCCCTGTCTGCTGCCCCGGCCTAGGAGGGAGGGCCAGCACTGTTTTGCTGTTCCTACTATCTGGCGCCTATAGTGTCCCTGGCCCAGTTTAAACCCCCTTGCTTGACCTTCTGTCGTTTCTTGTATCCAGATGGGGCTTGTCCCCCTAAAAACAGCCCAGTACTGGGGCCCAGTTAAAGCAACAGTGTCAGCATCCCCATCTTATAGCTGAGAAAACAGGCTCAGTGACTTGCCCAGCCCACAGCCAGTGGCAGGGGGCCTGGGACTTGGGTCCAGCCGTGCATCACTGCATCCTCATATTTGCTGGAAGGCTGACTGCAAGCTGGAGGCCTTATCCAAACGCTGAGGCCACTCCTCCCTCTTCTGGCTGGAGAGCCGACTCTGGCCCAGTGGGTCATGGTGAGGTTTTCTCTCTTGCTAATGAAGCAAGTGGGCCTTTTTAACCTCCCCATGGACAGTGTGTCTGCCTCTGTTGAATGTGATTGGAGGGACTTTACACCAAGAAAGGGCCAGAAGCTGGGAGGAGAGTCTGGGAGTCTGTCCTGAAGTTTGCAATGCTTCCTTCTCCCTTCCTTACCCACCTGGATTAAGGAAAAAGAGAAAAAGCATCCTTGCACATGTGATAAGAGCCCAGAGTGGGATAGAGTAAAGATGGGAATGAACCAGAGGGGACGGGGGGTGGATAGGTACCCATGGTACTTTTTTACTGTATTTGTCCATTAGCATCATCCCCTGCACTGGGCTGAGAGACTGTTGCAGGCCTGGGTCTGGTTGTTTTCCCAGGCCTGGTACCTGCTGTGTGTATGTTGAGCGAATGAATGGATGAAAGACCTGGGTCCCGAAAGCCTGCTTTTCAGGCCCAGACCTGCCACTAGGCCATCTGTGGCCTTGGTCAGTCCATCCCCTTCTCAGGCCTCGGTGTCTCTACCTGAGCTGGGCTTCAAGGCCCTGATGTCCTGAGCCATGAGGGCCTTGGGCTCTGAGAGATGAAGGGTGGCAGGAGATGCGTGCTGGGATTCCTAGAGGACTGGGCCAGCTTGTGTGCGGGTGGAAGGTGTTCCCTGGCCCTGCTGGCTGTGGCGCATTAGGAAATGGGGCTGCAGGCTGGAGGGGAAAAGGAGGATGCAGGCTTGGCTGAAAGGTGGTTCCCCAAAGCTGTGGGTCTCTGTGGCAACTTAGCTTTTTTTCTGGAAAATGAAGTGTCCCAGCAGCATCTCTGGGCCTGGGACAGGTGCCGACTGCACAGGTCCTGGGGCAGGGGGAGGAGAGGCCACGGGCAGGGCGTTGGGTCCTGGCCCATCCTGCCTGGGCTGCGGTGGGGGCTGGGGCTCGCCCACCTTGTGCACTGTATCGTCCTGCTCATAATCACTTGGCCTTGTGTTTCCCGCAGATCATGATCGAGTTCTGTCCCGGGGGAGCTGTGGATGCCATCATGCTGGGTGAGTCTTCCATGGTCCTGGTGTGTGGTGCTGGGTGTAGCTCTGTCTAGGGTGGATGTCCTTTGGTCCCACACCCCTGGAGTTCGTGTGGCCTATTTGAGCACCTGTCCACTCTGTCCCCTTTTGGGAGTAGATGTTATATTCTTGGAAGGTAGGACACTTGCTGGAAGACCTAACACTTCCTGTTCAAAAAGCATGTGGCCTTGTGCTGGTCTCTCCCCACCTCGAGACTTCTGGGCCATAAGTGGATGTGAGGCCTTTGTCCAACTGCACAGCATTCTTAGGATGTGAAAATGAGACACCTGATGGAGAGTCCTTGAAAAGTGGGGACCCCACCAATTTCGTAAGACCTCAGTGGGGATATCGTCAGGTCATGATGTCCCAGGCAAGCTCGACAGTAACTGGAAAATAGGTACTAGTCATCACCACTGTTCAGTGATCACTTACTGCATGCTAGAGCATTGGTGGCTGCGTTCACCTATTATCCTCGTGTATAAAATTGGAAAGAGTGTTAGGTTTTATTCTTGATCAGACTAATATAATACTTAGAGAGGTTAAGGAGCTGGACCAGAGGCACACAGCAGAACTGAGATGTGGGCCAAGGTCTTGTCAGTCTTGTCATTCTGGAGCGTCTGAGACCTCCCAGGTTCTGGGGTCAGGAACAGGGTTCTGGGGTAGCTCTGGAGAGGAGAGGCCCTCAGCATAATGTAACACCATGCAGCCTCTTTTTTATTGAGAGAAGTCTCACATCTGTGCTGTCCTTTTCATTCTGAGCTACGGAAATGCTGGCCTTTCTTGCAGAGCCCCTGGCCACGCCCAGAGTTCCCAGATAGGTAAATGACAGTAGGAAGGAGGATGTGGGCACTTGTGATAGGCCCTTGGATATGCCTTCTCAGCAGAGACGGCCTTCAGAGATTTTCATTGTTCTGGGTAGAGTCTAACAAAATTAAAATGGTGGTGTTGCAGGAGTCGAGACTCTCTTGGTTATAAGGAGTCCAAGACTGTTCAAACTAGTTTAGGGAAAAAAAAATGTTGGGGGGTGTAGGAGGGGAAGGAGGATTTATTTGCACAAATATCTGAGAAATTATAGTGTCTGGCTTCAGGACCATCTTCATCTAGGTGTTTTTAAAAAAGTTGCTGTAATAATTTGTTTTCTTATGGATGGAGCTGGAGGATATTATGCTCAGTGAAATGAGCCAGGCAGAGAAAGACAAGTACCAAATGATTTCCCTCATTTGTGGAGTATAACAACAAAGCAAAACTGAAGGAACAAAATAGCAGCAGACTCAGAGACTCCAAGAAGGGACTAGCAGTTACCAAAGGGGAGGGGTGTGGGAGGGCGGGTGGGGAGGGAGGGAGAAGGGGATTGAAGGGCATTATGTTGAAGGGGATTGAAGGACATGGTGTGGGGGTCATGGGGAAGACAGTGTAGCACAGAGAAGGCAAATAGTGAATCTGTGGCATCTTACTACACTGATGGATAGTCACTGCAATGGGGTTTGGGTGGGGACTTGTTGATATGGGTGAATGTAGTAACCATATTGTTTTTCATGTGAAACATTCATAAGAGTATATATCAATAATACCTTAATAAAAAAATAATGATTTGTTTTCTTTCTCCAACTCTTGATCCTACTTTCTTGTGTGTTGGCCCAGTTCTCATGCTGGTTTTCAATTCTTGGTGCCAGATGGCTGTGGGAGCTCCAGCTATCACATCTGAAATCCAAACAGCAGGATAGAAGAAGGGAGGGTAGGACATTTCCACAAACAACACACACCAATGCCATTCTTTTTTTTTCCCCCACTGCCATTCTTTTAAGGAGATGTCACAGAAACCCTTCATGACATCTCTATTTACATCTCATTGGCTAGAACATAACACATAGTTGCAAGGGAGCTGGGAAGTGAGTATGTTCAGATACTAAAGAGAAGGGGAGAATGGGAGCCGGGTAGCAGCCTCTGCTTCTCCAGGTGTGCAGCTCAGCAGAATAAGACCTGGGGGAGAATGTTGGAGATAGAAGAAGCATGCACAAGTAACAGGCCCTTGTCCTCATTCACAGCTGGGGCAGGACGCTGGCATGGCTCAGCCAGCAGGCAACCTCTCTCTCTGGCTCCCTGGCTTACTTTTCCTGGTGGAACTAACTGCTCCAGCCTCCATGTTGGTGGCAGCAGTTAAAGGAATAGTGCCATGGACATTCTAGAAATCAGGTGGAGAAGAGAAACTGGGATGGGGAGACCTGCCAAGAGGAGAGCCAGGTCTCGGTCACAGCTCTGTGCCGAGGGTGACTCTCCTGTAGATGCCTGCCCTGCTTAGAGGGACGTTCCGCCCTTGACTGACTCCCCATTGCCCTGCAGTTTGTATAGTGACCTGTAGTGATGAGCGTAAACTTGAGGTCTGTTCCAGGTAGTGGTGGTGCTAGGCTGGCCCCTTTGAGAGCCGGGGAGAACCTCCGTGCAGCACGCCACTGTATGGCCTTACTAGTTGTTAGCATCCAGCGTCTGTTCTGATCCATTGGCCATTCCTTGCCAGCTATTAAACATTTTGGCTCTCAGCCCTTCTGCAGAGGAGAGGGTGAGGCGCCAGATTGGATGTGGTTTCAAAGGAGACATAGGACTCATTTGCAGTGTTGCAAATTCTTTAATAAGAAATTGTTCATGCAAGAAATTGTTCATGCAATCAAAAATTAGTCTTAAAATTTTATACTCTTTGATTCCAACTATATGATACTCTAGAAAGACAAAACTGTAGGGACAGAAGGCAAATTAGCGATTACTTAAGGGATGGAGATGGGGTGAAAGGTTGAATACACGTGGGAATTTGGGGGAGAGGTGGAAACATTCTGTATCTAATTTGTGGTGGTGGCTCTTTGACTATATATTTGCCAAAATTCATAGAACTGCACATCTAAAAATGAATTTTGCTGTATGCAAATTATATCTTAGTAAACTGGAAAGGTTTCATATCTAAACCCAGAATAATCTTAGGACCAACATCATAATCGCATTTTATTGACTGCCCTCCATGCTGGAGGGCATGCCTTATCGCTGGAGCTCTGCCCATGTCAGTTACCATCATCCCATTTTACAGACCAGGAAATGAAGGTACGGAGAGATGGACTGGCTTGCCAGATTCCTCACACCAAGTAGGAGGCAGCAGTTGGGTTCAGGCTCAGCCTGTGTGACCCTGAAGTCCCTGCAGGCTGAGCCTGGCCCCTGGCTGGGGGAAGGAACACAGAGGTTAAGAATGAGGTCACAGGGAAGGGGAGCAGTTGTGGACTCCAGAGAGAGGGCCTCCTGGGCCACTCTGGCTGGTGTGTTGTTTTACCAGGCTTTAAGGGCTCTGACCTCGAGGATTCCTGGCCTGGGACAGCAGGGGGAGGCAGACGCGAGAGGGTGCTGCTGTAGCTGGAGGGAGGCCCTGGCCGCCTGCCTTCCTTGGAGTTGTGGCCGGAGGACCCAGTGGGCAGGGTGGTGGGGGCTCACCTCAGCTCAGGGAGCTTGGGGAGCAAAAAAAAGGAAATAGTGACCATGGCGGTGTGGGTGGTGAGCACAGGATGGCGTCCTCAAACCTCACGCCCTTCCTCCTGCTGCACCCACTCACTTCCTCATTCCTCCCACCTCCCAACCTGTCAAGTCGGGAGTCCATCCTCTTCGAAGCCTTGGGCACCATCTGGCCTCTTGAACCACCGGGACAGCCCCCAGCCCAGTTCCCTGCCTGCTCTCCCTTCCCTGCAAACGTTTGTCTCACTGCACTAGAGGGAATTTTTTTAATGCAAAAATCAAATTGTGTATCTACCTTGCTTAGAGCCTCTCCTGCACTGCCCATTGTGTTTCACATAAAATGCAGCCTCCACTGCTTGGCCTGAAAGTTCCTGCAGAATCAGGCGGTGCTGTCCTCTGATCTTGATTCACTTTCCTCTCAGCCAACAGGGGTCTTTGCACATGCTGTTCCCCTGCGTGGGCTACATGCTGTCACCTGCTCAGAGGAGGCCCCACTGTCCCTAAGCAGACATTGAGGTGTGTGTCCCTGACCAGCATGCAAGGCTCTTGGTGACGGCCTTCCGGCCAGCCCTTCACCTTCCACATCTCCAGCGCCTCCGCTGCAGCCAGCTGGCATTTCAGCACCAGCCCATGTCAGCCTCCAGACCTTTGCTTTTGCTGGTTGCTTGACCTGGAATGCTCTGGGCCCACATTTTCTCCTCTCAAACCTCTGTTCTTCCTTAAAGATGCAGCTCAAATGCCCTTTCCTCTGGGGAGACTCCAGTGCCCCAGGCAGAGGGAGTTGCTGCCCATCCTGCCCTCCTGTGCACCCGAATCGCATTCTGTTCCAAGCCTTGCTCAATGTCTCTGTGCCCCTCTCTGCATACCTGCCTGGAGCACGGAGCCGGCACAGAGCAGGCGTCAACAGTGCCTCCTCCCAGAACAGGTCTGTGCCTCTTAGAGAGGGTGTTTCTGAACTCTGAAGCCAGATTGGCTGGTTTGAATCTCAGATCTGTGGCTTCTTACCCATGTTACCTTGAGCAAGTGACTTGACCTCTCTCAGCCTCGGTTTCCTCATCTATAAAGTGAGATGATGACAGTGCCTGCTCCGTAGGGTTACTGTGAGGAAGAAATAGGTAGTCACATGCATGTGACTGCTTAGAAGTGAACCTGGTACATGGTAAATGCTCAGTTGTGTTTATGGCTTTTGTATTTCTTGTCCCTGGTGTGGGCCTGGCATTCAGTGCCTGCAGCAAGCACTTGCTGAACTGACAGCAGCTCTCTCTGTTTCCAGAGCTGGACAGAGGCCTCACCGAGCCCCAGATTCAGGTGGTTTGCCGCCAGATGCTGGAAGCCCTCAACTTCCTGCACAACAAGAGGATCATCCACCGGGATTTGAAAGCCGGCAATGTACTGATGACTCTTGAGGGCGACATCAGACTGGGTAGGAGACGTCTGCGGGTGAGGGTGAAGGCAGAGCCTGTGGTGCCTGCCTGGGGGTGTCAGCCCAGCCTCTGCCTGCTGGAGGAGCAGGTGCGGGACCCTCACTCACAGGCTCCGGGATGTCAGGGGTCCTGCCTGCTCTCCCTGGGCTGCAGGGCACATGTGCTTCCCAGCGGCTCCGTCCAACCCAGTGTTCTCAGCTGAGGGTGATTTTGCCCTCCAGGGACATTTGGCAGCGTCTGGAGACATTTTTGGTTGTGCTGGCTGGGGCCGTGGGGGCTGCTGGCGCCTGGTGTGTAGGGAAGAGGGATGCTCCACCTCCGACAGGGTGTAGGACCGGGCGTGGCTGCAGTGTGGTCCTGCTCTCTAGTCTGGCTTGGGTTCCTGGGGCCTCGGGGGAAGCCCTCTGCTCCTGCTTCCAGTCAGAGATTTTGAGTGAGTGAGAGTGACACATGGAGGCATCACACTGCATTTAGAGCCAGAGGAAAACAGTACAGCAGGCACATATATTGAAACATTATTATTATTTTATTGACATATCATTGATACCCAGTCTTATGTTGGTTTCTAATGTACAACGCAGTGGTTCAGCAGTTACTATATTATTAAATCCTCACCCTCTCTAGTGTGGTTACTATCTATCAACAAAGAAAGATGTTATAGAATCATAAAACATTATTTTTTTATCTCTCCTGTCTTGGTTTTTTAAAAATTGTGGTAAAACACACGACATAAAATTTGTTATCTTAACTATTTTTAAGTGTATGGTTCATTGGCATTAAGTGCAATCACATCGCTGTGCAGCCATCACCACCATCTCCAGAAGCTTTTCATCTTCTAAACTGAAGCTCTGTCCCCATCAAACACTAACTGCCCATTTCCCCTCCCAGGCCCTGGCAACCCCGTTTACTCCCTCTCTCTGTGTGTGGCTGCTCTAGGAACCTCATATAAGTGCGATCATTTGTGCTTTTGTGACTGACTTATTTCACTTAGCATAATGTCTTCAGGGTTCATCCATGATGTAACGTGTCAGAATCTCTTTACATTTTCAATGTTTTTTATTTTTAAGCAGAATAACACATGCCATGTGTCCTCTGCTCCTGCCACGTTCTTAACCCATCCACTCCCAGAGACAGTCATTTTCAACTCTTCTCATATTTTTCTTGCATTGCTAAATAATACGCATTTTTTAAGTAATGATTTTGTTGTGTGATGAAAAAGTAATACATGCTTATTATTATATAAAACTCACGTAGTACAGGAAGGTTTAAGGGGAAAGCCAGAAAGCCTCCAGTGTCATTCCCCAGATGTTGGCTCTGGTTGTCATCACAGGCACCTCTGCATGCATCTCCATCAGGAGGACGTGCAGCCAGAGAGGACTTAGCGAGTGGTATTAACTAGTCTTGTTTATCAGTTTGATGATATGCAACTCTATTTTCCTTAACATCCTTCTCCAGTAGTGAAATGGTTCCTCTGTCTGTACCTCCTGTTTCCTCAGCCCTGGCTTTCCAGCACGGAAGGGTCACTATCTGTAGTTCCTCTGGTGATTACTTTTGTATATTTTGTATTACATCCACAAGAAACTGAGCCACTGTTGAGCCCCTGTGGTGGAGAACTGCAGGGATAGTCAGGAGGGTTGGAACAGAAATGGCACAGTATGGCCAAGGGCATCCTCTACATGTGGCTCCCGACATCCCTGTTCTCAGGGCACTGAAGCCCAGAGAGGGCAGGGACCTTCCTCAGGTCACAGAGCTAGCAAGGGCAGAGCCAGGGCTGACCCCATGGCCACGGGCTCACTCACAGGGTTCTCCCATGTCACTACACTCACCTCCATGAGTGCGTTGAACTGACAGCTTAGGACAGGGCTGGGCCTTAAAAGATGGATGCAGGCCTGGTGGATTCCCAGATTTGGGGCATCTCAGTCCCCAGGCAGGCTTCTAACACTCAGATTGCTGGGCGCAGACCCTGGGGTTTCTGCCCAGGGTGGGGTCCAAGAACTTGCATTCCCAGCAAGCTCCCAGCCGAAGCTGGCTGAAGGACCGCACTATAAAACCCATTGCTGTAGACCCTCTCTACCCAGAGTGTGGGAGATAGCAGTGTCAGCATTATGTGGAAGCTCATCAGAAACGTGCCCCCGTCCAGAGTGCAGGGTTGGTCTCTCCTAACCCCAGCAGGATGAAGAGTCTCTCACATGGGACATGAGCAGGGCCACGCTCTGCGTCCTTAAGACCAGCATCCCTCACTTGCAGGGACTGACCGCCGGGGCCCAGCTCACCTCCCCTGTAGCTGTTCCTCATCCTTCCTCCTCTCTTAGCTGGAGTGGTTAAGAACAGAGACCTGAGCTCGCACCCCGAGCCAACTGCTGGCTCTGTGTCCTTGGGGAAGCTGCTTGGCTTTGCTGCCCTTCTGCTTTCCTGGGAAGCAGAGCTGATAATAAAAGCTCCCTCAGAGGGTTGCGATGCCAGTTAGAAGAAGATGCTTATGTTGTGAGTTCTCCAGAAAGGCAGCTGTGATTACTCTTGTTTCCTTAAGTCTGTTGCGGGCCTGGTGCTGGGCTCTGAGGACGGGGGCCTTAGACCGAGTTCTCCTGCTGAGTTCCCAGGCCTCAGGGCTGGGCAGGGAGTTCCTAGTGCCCGGTGGCGGTTGCCCGTTCCCCCACCTGGGCCTGGGGCTTGGGGGTTCAGAAGAGGCCAGCGTGAGACAATAGTTTGAGCTGAATCGTGAAAGGTGGGTAAGTGTTTGCCGGGTAAACCAGATTGGGCAGGGCAGTCATGGAAGTGGGAGCCTAGTGGGCAGAGGCATGGTGGTGACAAATAGGGTATTTTGGGAGGAGTGACAAAAATAACAGCACACATTTATTAGGTTTATGAAGCACCTGGTAGGTGTCAATGGTTAGACAAGGTGCTTTCTAGACTTGGCATTTCATCAGAAGGCTCTGGGTGGGGGGAGTGGGGGTAGGTAGGGACCACCCCCAACACAGGTGAGGACACTGAGACCCGGAGTGGAGGTGCCCAAGGTCAGGTCACGAGGGAGGAGAAGTAGCAGGGTTTGTTGACCTCACAGCCTCCAGTGGACTGGCTCACTCAAGGGCAGAAGGTAGGGAGCCAGGGAGGGCCTGAGGCTCAGGGAGTTTTGGGGGGCAGAAGAGTCTCTTGTGCTCTGGGGAGTTCAGGGGGACCTTCAGCTCAGCAGCCTTCAAGAACTTACTGCTTTGGGGAGGGAGGACACCCAAAGCTGGCTCAGGACCAGCCTGTGGGGCTGGTCGGAGCAGGGAAGTCCTGGTGGGGACAGGGAGGGTTGGGAGCTGAGACCTCCCCACTGGGGTTCCCATTTCCCATGGTGTCTCCTCCAGCACTCTGTACTTGTGGAGGTGCTGATGTGCCAAGCAGACTCCAGAATCCCACTCAGAACCTGGCAGGGGTGGGGTGGATGCAGATGGGTGTGTCAGGTTTCCAAGTGACTTGGCATATGCAGTTGAGGAAACCAGGAAACCACTTAAGGAGGAAAAACATTCAGGGAGAGTTGAGTGTGCAAATATTTATACAGTTATCACTGGGCCCAGGGAGCTGAGGTGTGGATGCCTGCTGAGGCCTGTTCTGTATTGGAAAATTCTTTTCCTTGGAGTCCGGGATTTGAACCTTGGCGAAACAGTGGAGGAAGCCTGCAAGATGGGGTGGCAGTCTGTCTGCATCTTCCTAGCTTCCTGGGACCGTCTGGGCCCCTGGAGGCGATCCCACCCCCACATGTCCTTACGCAACTCAGGGAGGCATAAGAGAATGTTTAGCAGGTCTTCCTCCCAAACAAGGGTGTCACCTCATTAGAGACAATGTCTGTGCTTCTCAGTGAGTGAGATACTATGGGAAGCAGCAGGGAGGGCTAAGCAAAGTGTCTGGCTGTAGACACGACAAGCCTGGTTCAAATCCTGGCTATGCAACTTATGAGCTGGAGAAGCATTTCACCGTCCAAACCTCAGTTCTTTTATCTGTACAGGTGGTATAACAATAGACCACCTCATGGAGTCCCTGTGACCAGTTGGGTGAAGTATACTAGTACAGTCCCAGGGAGGCTCAGGGTTATGTCCCTCTCTGCTGCTAGGCCTTTTGCTTCTTCCTTGTGTTATATATTTACTTCTGTCTAGGATTTCAAACTTGCTGTGAGCTTCATTTGATAGTTGCCAAGTAAAGCACATACTCCAGCCCTGGGTGGGTGTAAAGCGATTCTCGATGGCCAGTCAGACCCATTTGTGCAGAGAGAGAAGGGAAGAGTGTCTGCTGCCCTGAGACAGTTGGGATATTACGTGGGGTGTGGGCTTTGAAGTCTGAAGGTCTGTGGTCTTGTCCTGGACCTGTGGTCTGCCGTTTTGGCATTGGGTGACCTTGGGCGAGTCACCTAACCCTTTTGAGCTTCAGTCTCTCTAACTTAGAGTGGGGTAGTAGTTCCTACCTCATAGAATTGCTGTGAGCAATTATATATATTGTGCATGTGTGTATAGACCACCTCATGGAGTCCCTGTGACCAGTTGGGTGAAGTATACTAGTACAGTCACAGGGAGGCTCAGGGTTATGTCCCTCTCTGCTGCCGTGCATCTATATGTATACATATAGATGCATGCAGAGCATCTCTAGATGTTGAGCACATTGGAGAGGCCCGAAGAATGTTAAGGTTCTTTCCTGGGCCAACGAATGTCTCAGAGTAGCTGCTATAAGAAGGAACATTCTCCATTCCCCAAAAACCTGTGTTCCTCTCCCCAGACATTCTTCTTTGAAGATAGGAGGTGCATTTTACAACTTTTGGAGTTTTTCAGGTTCTAAGCAGAGTTCTGAACTGGTCTGAAAATCAAAGTGCCCAGCACAGAGCTTGGTACATAGTAGGTGCTCAATAAATAGTAGCTTCCAGCACTGCCATTGCTTTATCAGTTCGCCATTGCTGCAGGACCACCAACACCCAGAGGCCTCCAGTGTACAGGAGGCCTGGCTGGAACCGTCCCCTGCCTCTCACCCC